TATTTCGAGCCCTTTTTAAATATTTTTTAAAAATACGAAAATTTTAATTAAAATAATTGCACTCATGATTTTTTATTCAAATAAACAGTTCAGTTTTTTCTGTTATGTCAATAAGATCAAAAAATATTATTTATCAGTATGTAATTTGTATCTAAATGTGATTTCCAAAAAAACCGAGCAAAGCTCAGTCACCCAGGTACTATTTATAAAGTGCTTAGAGGAAAAATATATAATAGTGACATATTGGGGCGGATTAGGTAGTGTTCCAGACGAGTACGTATGGAAACGGCGGCGGCCGCGGCTGGTATCCGGGCCTCGCGCCCGAACCAATTTACTAGATAAAGCACCTTTAACGCGAACGGTAGGCATTCTTAATAGAATGGCTGAAGACATTGACCTATTCTATTGCTCCTTCAGTGAATTTACTAGGGTGGGATTGTTTACAATTTGTTACAGTTAATTTCCACATTTTTGTTATGCATGAAAAGAACTACACTGTCGCATTAGTGTATTCCTGTCATGATAGTTGTTAGTTTCAATAAATAAATAAGATATGCAGGAAGTCAATGGATGCAGGTGCCATTCCTAAAGAGAGACCTATGTTTAGCAGTGGACTTTTGAAGGGATGTAATGACGATGACTGTTATTATAATACAGATTCATTGACCCCCTGATTTTAAATATTTAATCTGTTTATGTCTTTAATGCTGCCGAAACAGACCGACTCATCGACAACGTCCAAATGGCTACAGATTCCGTGCTACAGCAGATCCCAATCGCAGAGATCGTGATCCGATCCAATCTGATGGCAATTTTAACGCCCATTACGCCAAACTTCCAAGGTGTAGTCCCGAATTCATGGGAGACAGCTTTGGTTCAGCCGATCCCTAAAAAATACGACCCTTCCAACTACAAGCCTATTGCCATCACCTCCTTGTTCTCCAAAATAATGGAGTCCATTATAAACTGCCAGCTCATGAGGTACCTTGAGGATCACCAGCTGATTAGTAGCCGCCAATACGGTTTGTGTTGTGGTCGATCAGCCGGTGATCTTTTGATATACCTGACTCATAGATGGGCGAAGGCAGTAGAGTCCTAGGGGGAGGCCCTAGCCGTTATTTTGGTCATTGCGAAGGCCTTTCGGTTTGGCACAAAGCGCTTCTTTCGAAGCTCCCTTCCTATGGGCTTCCCAAGAAATTATGCAATTAGATCACCAGTTTCCTTGGTGATCGGAGCATCGAGGTCGTAGTAGACGGTACATGCTCTGATAACAAGCCTATTAACGCTGGTGTTCCACAAGGCTGTGAGTTATCACCAGCACTGTTTCTTCTGCATATCAGTGATATGTTGCAAACTAGTAACATTCATTGCTATGCGACAACACTGGTCTTATACACCGGCCGTGCCAATATTTCTCGAGAAAATGTCGCCGAGTACCGGGAAATACTTATGTTTGAAGTCGAGTCTTTGCTGAACAAAGTCTCATATTGGAGGCGACTAAATCTAGTCTAGTTCAATCCACAGAACACACAAGTTTGCACGTTTACCGCTAAAAAGAACCCCTTGGTCGTATCTCCTCAGTTTCAAGGCACTCACCTTGCTCCCTCAGCTAGCATCAGAAACATTAGCGTCGACAAATCGAATAATGTGCAGTTTCTTGGTCACTTGGAGGGGAATGCCAAATTGGCCTCTAAAAAGCTCGGCGTGCTCAGCAGAGCGAGACAGAATTTCAAGCCGGCACATCGCTTGCAACTTTATAAAGCACAAGTTTGGCCTCACATGGAATACTGTGTTCATCTCTGAGTCGCGGCACCCCAGTGCCAGCTCCTTCCACGTGATCGCATCCAGCGCAGAGCGGTTTGAATCGTTGACGATCGAGTTTTTTCCGATCGGTTCGATTTACTGGCATACGTAGGGATGTTGCATCCCGTTGTGTTTTCTGTCGCATCTACCAAGGGGAGGGTTCTAAGGAATCGTTCGGATTAGTTCCAGCCGCCAAATTTCGCCTTCACCAATCGCCTCACCATCCGGATGCTTGGCGGTCCACCCCTGTGCGTTTTACTAGGAGATTTCTTCTTCGTACAACTTCTCTGTGGAATTGTATACCACCAGCGATTTTTCGGAACAGATATGACTAAGGGACCTTCAAGAAAAGAGCTTACTCCTTTCTAAAAGGCCAGCAACGCACCTGCGATTCCCCTGGTGTTGCGGTTGTTCATGGGCGGCCGTAGTCACTTACCATCCTCATGCTTGTTTGTTCCCCTCTTATATAAAAAATTGGATGATCCTGCAAGCCATCCCTGGAACTTTCCGCTAATTTCAAATGCAAAGCGCTCCAAATTTCACCAAATTATGTTGCAAAATCTCAAAGTTATGTTCAAAAAACGTATTTTTATTGTTTCTCCTTCGATATCTCACGAACAACGATTTTCGAAAATCGGGATGAAATCAATAACTTCCCTATTTTAGAAAATATTCAATTTTCTTAGCGGGAAGTTAAAAAAACTCAGATAAACTTTAGTATAGAGTACGAGAGAGAAAGGGATTTCCTGAATTAGCTCAGGACCTATTTATATCCAACTTTATAGAAACTCAGTGCCCGCTTTTTTATAGTTTATAGCGAGATGGGGCAAACGACCTGTATGAAAAATACACTATCTTGTATTAAAGCATTACAGTAGTTGAGCCATGCTGCAGCTATGTTATTTATGGAGCACGAATTGGTCGGTTCATATGGGTAAGGACCACGGTCTCACAGAATACCTGCGACAAATAGCAGCTCAATGCTTCTGTGTTTTGTATAGTGAGTGTAGATATTTGGAGACTCTTTTTACTGAAAATTAGGTGTTCCACCTTAGTCCTCAGGGATGCACCTTGAATGAATGAATTGAATGAGGCGACAGTTTAATATCGCTTATCATTTAATTACTTTAGAAATTTCGTTATATCTATTTACCTTTATTTATCGGAGTATCATAAATATAGAGCATTTAATAAATGTATATTATATAAAACTATACAATAAAAAAATAAACCTCTATGGCCTCAAAACGATTTATTGAAAAAAAGGTAGCATCCTTATAATCCGGTTGAAATGTTATGCGGCTAGGTTTATGAGGAGCTGATGAGATAACTGCAATAGTATAGTGCCTGCGTTATCAACTGACTCTTCGGGCAATTAATTATTGTAATCAGTCTATCTCGCTCGCACACATTAGGCCTATGGAGCGTATAATGACGTGCGTAACAGCAGGTAGTCGATATCAATAAGATTTAACCCTTTTGGCACTTACTTTTCACTTTTATGCCACAAATTATATATCTACGTGTTTACTATATTACAAGGAATACAAAAAAGTATAATACTTTCGTTTTTAGTCCAGACACAAAAATAAAATTCTATAAAAAAGACGGAGCAACTTCTGCAATGCTACACGTGGAACGCCGAAAGTTCAGAGTGATTTCTTTTTTTTCTTCTAAGAAACATTGCCAGGTTATGGTTTAAAACAAAAGAGCATATCTTTGTCATTGATACTATTATCTATTGCATATTGTCTTTGGTTTTGTTTAAAACGAAAAAAATAATTTTTTCATAGGACAGTATTTGATATCGAATTCGATATCTTCCCGAGACGACGTAAGGTAGGTTGTGTGATATCGAATTTGAGTATCTCCATGAGTTAACCGGTTAATGAACGAAATTAAACAAAATAACACAAGAGAATCAATTTTATATATAATATAAAGTAAGTTTTTTTTAAAATAATCCTCGGATTGTCTGGACTGCCAGATTGCGTTATTCCGATATTATAGAAGTATTGCAGTTGGCCCAGTGCTGCCAGTAGAATTATGTTATTAGTTAGATATATCTATTAAACCAATATTGGCTTTGTATTATGTGATTTAAATCTAGATCTAAAACAGTAATTCAACTAATAATAAGGCAATCAAACATCATTATTATCATCATCATTACAACACTTTAGAAGTTCACTACTTAACATAGGTCTTCCTCAAGGAATGCCCCAATGCACGGTTCTGAGCCACCTGCACAGGACTTGCTGCATATTCTTCCGCTACATGGTGCAACTCACGAGATTCTTCTCTGTCGGTGGTTGGTTCTTCATGCACATAGGCCGGCCCATTGCCACTTGAGCTTATTAATCCATTGGGTTATGTCGGTTACTCTGCTTCCACTGCGGATATCCTGATTTCCAAGTTTATCACGCAGTGAAACCCATCTCCTGTCTCACTTTCCCTCCGTCACCTCTTACGACACCCACGAGAAGATATGGAATAGTGCATATTTGATATTACTGCCTGTCAGCGGTCTAACAATTTTACATCCTAAGCAAATCTAGCTCGACTCGGTAAATTGCGGTATTTTCCCTCCAGCTGTACCTCAAAATCTTTAAAAAACTTTACAACTAGTGTGAGCATTGATAACTTAACCGAGATTGTTTATCTCGGAACACGAGTAACCCGGGTTCGATCCCCACCGGCACCTATGAAATTGTTAATTGCAATTTAAAAGCAAGTAGTTGATAATGAAACAGCTTCGTATCGTTATCCTATCAGTTTCAGTAACTGCAAACATAACCGTTTTGTAAATATTACACCGAAAATGAAATGTTATATAATCTTGGCTCACATAAATTGTTGACTGGTAAAGCATGATATTTTTCATTTGTTTCAGATTGATCTACAATATGGTCTGAGGATTTAGAGACAAGTCATCTATAATGATTTTTAAAACTCTTAGTGTTATTTGCATCTTATTATTTAATAACGTACTTTTTATAAATAGTGCTTTAAGTGATGATGGCAAAGAAAATAAAGAACAAATATTGGTATCCCAAAGTACGGATGTTAGAAGCTTTAGTGTAGTTAAAAAAAACATATATCAACCTCGACTTAAAAGGACTGTGCCCAATGAAAAGCCTATAATTGTTGATGAGATCGACCTTAAAAAAGGAGCGTTAAATCGAAATGTAACCGACATGAATACAACAGAGGAACCGTGTGTTGGATCTCCAGAGTTTTGTAATTTGACTCGCGAGGAATATGTGACAATGTTAAATGCATATATTTATCCGCAAACATACGAATGGGTATTAATTGGAACGCACACTGCAGTATTCATTATAGGACTGGTTGGAAACGCTCTGGTGTGTATAGCGGTGTACAGAAACCACACAATGAGAACTGTCACCAACTATTTCATTGTGAATTTGGCAGTTGCTGATTTTATGGTGATACTTTTCTGCTTGCCTCCAACTGTGCTTTGGGATGTAACGGAAACTTGGTTTTTAGGACATGCTCTATGCAAAGTATTGCTGTATTTTCAGGTGAGTTAAAAAAATATACGTGGTAGAGCCATGTTGCAGTTATATTAGTAGTAGTATAGTTGTAGTACGAATGGGTCGGCTCGAACGGGGAAGGACCACGCTCTCACAGAATACCAGCGTCAAATAGTAGCTTAATGCTACTGTGCTTCGTATAGTGAGTGTAGAGAACCAGAGACCCTTTTTACTGGAAACGAGGCATTCCATCTTAGTCCTCACGGATGATAACACATCTGCATTTTGATTCGTAATCGAGGATAGATGTAAATGTTTATGGGCCACAGCAACCACTTACTATCAGGTGGACTGTGTGCTTGTTTATCACCCTATCTTATAAAAAAAATGTGTCACTAGTGACCCACCCCGGCTCCGCATAGGTAGGATCTATAATATGGCGTTATTTAGATTTAAGATGATCAAAAACCATTTTTTTCACAAACTTTTCTCGCATTATATATAGCCTGAGTAACTCCTGGTATTGCTCGCTATTTATTCGTCAAGTTACATTACAATTGGTTCAGCCATTCCGAAGGTGAGTCCGAACAGATAAATAGACAGGCTTTCGAAAACTTTAAAAATTGTTATTTTTGTGTTTGTGTGCAAATAACCCATTGAGATTAATAAAAGCTAGTTATTTTAATATAAAAGATAGACACTTCAGTTTTATTTACACGTATTGATTACATATGATTTGATAATTATTTAGGTTTGTATAAATAAGTTTATGTAGGAGACTCTTCGTCGTGAATTATCGTAATGTTACGAGCTTGGGATTCGTGACAATAAAAACAGCTGATTGAAAACACAATTGTACTACTGATCACTTTAGTTCGCAACTCTTAAATCTCTAGAAGGATCTTGACCCTCCTAGTTCTACTACTCGATACTAGAGGGCGCTAGTGGTAACTAATGTCTTCATGTACCATGCATTCATTTCTCATTATGGCGCGAATCCACTAGCACCATATTATCACGGTGTTCTCGTATGAGCCTTAGCAGAACAGATGGAAATGAAAAAGGATATGAGTAGCAGCATATCCCTGATTACAATATTTTTACAGAATAATGGCGGCAAATGAGCACACAGTCCATCAGCAACTGTAATATAGCTGCAACGTGGCTCTACCACGTTCACAACTAGGGTTTGGGAATTCTTGACAATTTTTAAGTCCCGGGACATGAGACAGTCTACTATCAAAGTCCCGGGAATTCCCGGGTACTTTGAATTTTAAGAAAAAAATTTTTTAAGGGAAGTGAGCCTTTTTTGAAGAATTTTAATTCAGTAAATTTCTGGTGAAACGTATTGAAAAAGGCAATTTTTTGTAAAAATCAACATTTATTAATGTTATTAAGAAAAATATAATTTATCTTAATAAATTTAACGTTATTTCAGTCATAATAATTGCATTGTTCGTTTCTTTTAATCAGACGGATTCACTTTTAAGCAGTTAAATCGTATAGTTTTAAAATGAACCTACTTAAAAATCATACTAATTCTTTATAACTTTACAATTATCTAGTAATTCTAGAATCTTTCATTGGTCATTATAACAACATTGTTAATTCTGATTTGTTTCATAATTAAATAATCTAAATAAAAATAGTAAAACAGACTTTTAAATAATAATCAACTATCTAATCAACACATCGATTAGACTTCTTTGCTTGTTTAATAAAATAGGCTTGTAAAAAAATCAGAGCGTCAGCAGCTTTGTTCGACAATTTGTTTCTGATTTTTGTAATAATGCCACCGGACAAGGAGAACACACACCCTGGTTTACAACAGATGTCGGTTTGATTGTATTTAAGGATTTATACAGTAGTTCCAAACATTTACGTTTTCCGGTTGCTTCAAACAACTGAAACTCCTTTTGTAATTTAACTAACAGATGGCGCTAGGCTCCTTCAATTATTTGAAAATAAAAATGATGATTACATAACATTTTCGACAATCTTGTCTCGTCTCGAGTCTCGATCCGAAAGTCCCGGGACTCGAGACAACTAAAATTACGAAAAGTCCCGGGACTTCGAGACACGAGACGTCCCGGGACCCAAGCCCTATTCACAACACTTCAAAGTAATAAAAAACTGGATCGCAAACCCAGCTGCCAAACGAGACAACTATGATAAATATTATTCCTATGAACAATCTGGACTTTAATAGGCTACAATAAATGATAAGTCGTAAAGATGGTCAGTTGTAGCTCGGGCGGGCTTAGCGCTTGCTGTAAATTTCACAGTACACGAGCAACCCGGTTTTGATCGCCTCCAGCAACAATGAAATTGTTTATTGCAATTTAAAGTGCTGATTGACCACCTGCTCGCCGGTGAAGGAAACATTGTGAGGGAACCTGCACGTCTGAGAAAAAACTATATTTCGAAGACATGTAAAGTCTTATAACACGTATTGGGGTAGCGCTGTTGACGCTTCCTTGCCCAAAACCTTCTCAGAAGTGAGAGGAGGCTAACTAATTAATAAATTACAAGCGAATGTATGCATAAGTTTAAAAGAAAATAATTGTTTGAGTACATGATGATATAATTTCTGCGTAGTAGGTATAAAACAAAGTCGCTTCCCACCGTCTGTACGCTTAGATCTTCTAAGCTACGCAACTGATTTTGATGCAGTTTTCATCAAGGGACATAATGACTCAATAGGAAATAAACCTTCCTAAATGTGCAAAACCGAAGCGAAACGCTAGTATACTAATAAATAGTATAACATTTTACGTAGCCACGATACGAAATTGCTGTAAGAATAAATATTCGATAGCTTATGGGCTGGGCTTACCGTAAATACACAAGAAACAAGAATTACTTCTTTGCCATTATGTATATTGCTGATTTATTGGATGTCCGGCGATCAATTCGCGAGGGACCTGCATGCACATCTTAGGGGTTAAAAGTCTTTTTTGAGCTGACACGATTGACTATTTTCCATGGAATAAAACTATTATATCGGATTGTATTACGTTTAAGTTTTCATATTTTTGATTCCGGACGCTTCGGATGCTTTGCAGCACCCATGGTCACGGGGGGCGGGGGGTGGAGACTGTGGTATATAAGCGATGATTTCCTACTTCAAAATTCACTAGTCTGGTAACGGGCAGTTGACTGAGGCTGAAGACTAGACCTACAGATCTTTCGAGATAACTGTTGACAGCGGCTTTTCTATAATTCACCATCAATCATCAGCGTTACAGCTCTTCGCATATCCACTGCTGAACATAGGTCTCTGCCAAGAAACAATAGTAATATACCAGATCACATATTACTTTAGGTAGACTTGTCTAAAATCATCTCTCTGGGAAAGTTAGTACGTGTTTAGTGCGGTGGTAGTGGAAATTAATGCACTAAGAGAAAATGTTGACATATTTCCCACAGTACGACAGCTGTCAGCAGCTACGATAATCAACTACCGATCCGTCAAATTAAAAATAATAAATAAAACAATTCTGATGTTCTATTTCATGTAAATCAAGAATCTAAATACACACAAATAAATCTAATAATATGTCCAATAACAAATATTTAAAAGGCATTGCTACAGTTTCGAAACTTCGCAACATTCCCAATAACCATCTTGAGAAATAGTTGACAACCACTGGCTAGTAATAAGTAAAAAATAAATGAAATACAAATAAAACTTTTATTTGGAATGTGAGATATTTGCAACTTAGCTTTATAGAATATTAATAAATGCTAGTTATTTATGTTAAGATGTATGATCTCTAAAATAAACCCATTTACACATGAATGAAGTTGATGTACAATTTGTTTATCTTCGATCTATGATGTTGATGTTTGCTTAATAAAGTCGATCGAATAACCAAATTATCTTTTTATAGAGATCAACAAAATAAATGTTGCATTATGTAATAACAATATGTGTTATAATTTTCTAGCTAGTTTATAAATTTATTAGGTACTAGGACTTATTTTCAGCTCAGAAGTCCGCCTGGGTAGGTATCACTCTACTTATTTCTGCTAGCAAATAGTATTGCTGTGTTCCAATCTGAAGGGTATTGAAAGACAGTATAATTACAGGTTTTTAAGGAATTTCGGCTTAGTCTTCAGGAGTAACAACACATATTTAGCCTACTTTGAACGAAATTGACTGCAGCTTTTTTTTAATGGTATAAGGGTGACAAACGAGGATGCTGTGGCCCATAGATAACATCTATCCTCAATTAAGAATCCAAATGTAGATGCGTTGGCACCCCTGAGGACTAAGATGGAAAGCCTTGTTTTCAGTAAAAATTGTCTCCGGTTCTCTACACTCGCCATACGAAACACAGCAGCATTTAGCTGCTATTTTACGGTGGTGTTCTGTGAGAGCGTGCTCTTTCCTTGGTTGAGCCGGATGTGCAGAGTTTTAATTCCATGTTACCGTAACATAGAAGTGTCTATGTATGTTACTAAGTGACAAAATCTAACGGCCTTACCCAGTTACGTTCCGTATTTAATGAATTAATATTTTGTGCAATAAATATTATATATATATATATACTAGCTTGCCTGGCAGACGTTGTTCTGCCCTTTTCGATGACCCTTTGTCATGTCCTCTCGTTATTAAAATCCTTAAATTCGTAAAAAAATTGTGGGTGGCACTCGTGGGCAAAAAAACTATCCTATCTCTCAAGTTGGACCAAACTGCACACGGTGTGCAAATTTGATTAAAATCGGTTAAGTAGTTTAGGAGTCCATCGCGGACAAACAACGTGACACGTAATTTGTATATATTAAGATAATCCACAAAATGGCATATTTTTGCATATTTCACTTAAGTAGCAACCATGGAGGTTAGAGAGAAGGAGAATGTCCGTGGAGTTTTTATAGGTTGTGTTTTTATTTTAATTTTTTAAGTAATTGTAAAGAATAAAAAAGACAGATGTCACAAATGAGTAATCAAAATATTATTCCTGTAATTTTGACAAAACATGTCATCGCTAACGTATTGCAAAAATGTAAATTGCTTTATTGAGACTTTTTTTGTTTTTTAAAGGAACCGTTTCAAACGTATTGACGCATGCGCAGTACGTACCCGTACTGCGCATGCGTCAATGCGCTTGACAGCGTATGTATTATGACTGTCAAATTATATACAAATATAATTTGGAATAAAATAATATTGCGAATATGAATTGAAATGTATGCTATCCTATCTTTCAAGTTGGACCAAACTGCACACGTCGTGAAAATTTGATCAAAATCGGTTAAGTAGTTTAGAAGTCCTTCGCGGAACAACGTAAGACGTATTTAAGTACATCTCACGTTGTTCCGCGATGGACTCCTAAACTACTTAACCGATTTTGATCAAATTTGCACGACGTGTGCAGTTTGGTCCAACTTGAGAGATAGGATAGCTTACATTACATTAGCGTGTGCATTATCACTTCTTTATTATTGTGAGTGGTTATTAGAAGTTTTCGACATCCCACCTTTAAGTTTCCTTCTGCCTATAGGAAAGCCATGGGATGATATGGAGTAGTGTATTTTCTTACGCTGCCAATACACGGCTCTCTATTAATAAACAAATGTATTAATATATATTATTATAATTTGTTATTGCTCGATTGTAATCTGTACAAATAAATAAAATTGAAGTGTCTGTTTGTACTGTCAAAATAACAATATTTTTAATAAACTCATATGAATAGAAATGATTTTCACTGGCAGATAGCTGATATCATAAGAAGTAACTTAGGCTTCTTTCATTTTAAGAAAAACAAGAAGGGTTCCACGCGAGAAAATCAAAACAAATGAAATCTAACTGAAATAAATTCTACGGATGAAGGACGCGGACGAAGTCTCGTGGAATTTATTACGATTAGATTATTTCAGATATATTATACGGTTAGATTAGACCGAAGCTATTCCTACTGTATAATATTATACGGAAGTTCGTTTAAATGTTTATATTTTTGTATTTGTAGCTCAATAACGCAAAAACTACTGAATAGATTATGATAAAACTTGATAGTATTATAGATTACGAACCTGAATAGAACATAGACTATATTTGTTGTAAAAAAAGTATTAGTCTATCTCTATCTCTAAATACTATTATTAAGATGATAACGTGTCATCAAATGTGTCATCATCATCTCTGTAACATGATGATGTCAAATTTAGTAGAAATGGTTTCAGTAAGTAATAAAAATTTGTGAGTGAAAGAAAGTACGTTATAAAGAGAAGTAAACAAGGTCTCGCGTTATTTTTATTATACTGAACATTTATTCCAAGAAAAACGTAAGTATTTTCTTACAAATTAAACCGTATTATTATTTTTTCAGTCAGTATCAGTGACGGTGTCAGTTCTAACGCTGACATTCATATCACTCGACCGTTGGTACGCGATCTGCTTTCCACTTGAGTTCAAGTCCACAACCGGCCGCGCCAAGACCGCTATCCTTATAATTTGGACCATTTCACTACTTTTTAGTAAGTATGGATTAACTTTATTATTTAACGTATAGAAGTCTGCTACTTTAAATTGATAAGAAGATGCGCAACTTATGGCCGCCATACACGCTACGGTCTACCGGAGAACTATACCTACACAGACCGGAGTGTGGATTGGAATAGACCTTTGCAATTTTTTAATTCTATACAGGCAACCATTTGATAAGGTTATAAGGAAGAAAATATGGAAACTGTTGCTGGAATGGATGGTCGATTGTTAAGGGCCGTGTAGTCACTTTACTATGACTGTAAACCCATGTTTAGCGTCCAAGCGGGCGTAAAACAGGGTTGTGTCATGTCTTCCTGGCTGTTCATACTGTATCTCGATAGCTGTTTACAGAAGCTGAAAAACAGCTGTTTGGGTGTGAAATTGGGTGATATTAAAGTAAATTGTCTGCTGTATGCTATGATGATATATTAGTCACGTGTATGAAAGAGGAATGTGAAATTAAAGGTCTCCGTTTGAATTCTAATAAAACTAAGGTTCTGGTATTTGAAAAGGACGAAGAGAAAACGAAATGTGAAATATGGGTAAATCAGGAATGTCTAGAACAGGTAAATGAAATTGTATACTTGGGGAGTGCTTTCAGCCAGGATGGAAGATGTGATTTAGATGTGGACAGGCGTATCGTTGCCGGTAACAGAGTCAATGGTGCCCTAAATGCGTTAGACAAAAGGCAAGTCGTAGTGAAGAGTGCACGCCTTGCAATACATAACGCAGTGTTGGTACCGACTTTGTTATATGGCAGCGAAACCTGGGTATGTGAAAAGAAGTATAAAAGCAAGTAGAATGCAGTGGAGATGCGATCTCTTCGTAAAATGTGCGGCGTTACCATAGCCGACCGAAAGCGAAACGAAGAGATTCGCAATATGGCAGGATTGAAAGATGACCTTATCACAAAAATTGATAGGGGCGTACTCCGATGGTTTGGGCACATTGAGCGAATGAGTGAAGACCGAATGGTGAAGAAAATATATAGCGCGAAAGTAAATATTAAAAGGTTTCGAGGTAGACCGAGACTAACTTTCAAAGACCATGTGAGCAAATTACTCGAAGAGGGGAAAGTCAAGAGTACTCGGATACCTAGACGTGCATGTATGAAGAAGATAATGAATCTGAAAGAAGCGAAAGAGGTATGTAAGGATCGTGACACTTGGCGATCTGTTCTTTCTGCCTACCCCGTTAGGGATTGTGTGTGAAGATAAGTAAGTAAGTATACAAGTAACCGAAATCAATTCGTTGCGCAGAAAAGCCTGCACAGGTAAACCTTTTGTTTATACCGTAATGTGGATAGCTTTAATGTAAGTATATATTTAAATACGCATACAGTTAAAGATCGGAATGCTTTGAATTGTAGCTGACATATTTGGAAGGATGTGATTTTAATTGCTGGGATAAAAAGATAAAGTAATTTACGGGAATGAAGAAGTGAATGCAGAACACAGTGTAATGGCGGCGGTAGTCACCATCAGTTGAGTCGACTGTTCGCTCACCTCCTATTATATAAAAAGGGGCTCTTCCCTTAATTGTAAGAAGTCAGAATGGTTCACGAGATGACTGGACTGGAATGAGTCAGGAACGTATGGGAACTTATAATACTGTGCTAGTCCGTACCTTAATGTACAGTACCAAAAGCATGAGAATAAAATTAGTGATATCGGAATGAGGTTATAAAGAAGTATGTAAGGCGTGACATAATAATAGGGTGAGAAATTGCGTGATAAAAGAACATTGTAGTTTTAAAGAAGATGTTATAATTCGATTATGAAGGGAATGCTTCGATGGTTTGCACACATAGAAAGAATGAATAGAAAGAGTACCTAACTAAACAAATTTATGCTGCAGCAGTGATTGGAAAAGTCGGCAAGTAACGTTCTAGATGGAAAAAATTGTCACTCAAATCGAAAAAATTGGTGATATATTTAAGATGAGCCAAATTAAGAGCACGTGTGAATGTGAAAAATGAGAGAGGTGTGTCGGAACCTTGGTAAATAGGGGTAGTATTCCTCTGGGTGACAGTTTTAATCAATTATGTTACGTTACGTTATTTAGATAGATTAATTCACATCCTAATTAGTGCCTAAATCCTGTTCAAAATATATCACTCGTCACTTTTATATCAATTTGTAATTTATAATAACTAAACTTTATCCTTTCTTGTCAGCTTAATGTGAATCTCTCTCAAGAAGGTTATAAAAATAAGACGTAAATAAAGCAACTTGGCAATGTTAATTCCACTTCGATAAATCGGTAACCCTCTTCCGTTTAACGATTACGATTTATGACCAACTTATCCGTAATACGGGCTGTACTTAGTTTCACATCAATGTGTTTTTACAACCAGACGGATTCCACAGCATTATCTTCAGTAGCTTTCATTTTTATATCACAAAAGTATATCGATTGAAAGTTTATAGATTACCTCGGTTGTAAACGCGATTGCTGGTAATAAGGTCCCGGGTTCAAATCTCGGGTCGGGTCAAATTTAAAACTTGATAGAAGAACCCAATAAATTTTCTGGGTTTTTCTGTCGGTAAATTCTCAATTGCATCCCAAAGTTAGGAAGTTGGCGGTGTCTCACCCCCGTGCCTCGGAAAGCACGCAAAGCCGTTGCTCCTGCGCCTGATCTCTCTCGCGTCGTGTCGGATTGTCGTCCCATCGGACTATGAGAATGAGTGAATGGAGAGTGCACCTGTGCTTGAGCTGTATGGTCGGGCACTATAATCCTGTTCTGCGCAGATGGATAGTCAATGTCCTCCAGACCGAATTGCGGTCACGGCGATCAGTCTCAGCGAACACTAGCCATCTGCGCAGGATAAGATTATAGTGCCCAAGTGTATGCTCAAGCACAGGTGCACTCTCCATTCACCTGCTCTCAGAGTACGATGGGGCAGCAATCCGACACGACCGGAGGGAGACCAGACGCAAGATCAACGGCTTTACATACTTTTCTGAGAAAGGGGGGTGAAACACCGTCAAATTCTCTATTCCTGACAACTACTGAGAATCTCCTGACAGGAAAAAGCCATGATTTTTGGCCAGACTCGGGATATGAATCATAATCCTCATGATCAGCAGTCACACATCCGACCACTAAACCGATGAGGTAGTGAAAAAATGTTTCTAACATGAAATAAACAGATGAAAGATTATTTGGTAAGGAACCAAATAGATTTACTTAATTGAAATCGATTCCTCAGATAGTGAATTGCGGAAAATGATAGATAACGATCGAATAAGGAAATTGAAATTTAAGCGGATAAATTCGGACATTTTTTATAATATTATATGAACGGTGAAGTTGTGGAATAAAATTCGTGATTTTGAATGCGAAGAATTCTTAAAGCACACAAAGCAAGGCCCTAAATCATCTGCATCCATCAAGTTTTTGCATCTTTTACCAAGTTATGGTTATGTTTATATATTATGATGTAGCATGAATGGTTCGGCTCGACTGGAGAAGGATCACGCGCTCACAGATTACCGGTGTAAAATAGCAGCTTAATACCGCTCTGTTTCGTATGTGAGTGTCGAGATCCGGAGACTCGTTTTTACCGGAAACGAGGCATTCAATCTTAATCCTCAGGGATAACAACGCTTAGTCTGCGTTTTGATTCTTAATCGAGGATCAATGTAGATGTCTATGGACCGCAGCATTCACTTACCATCAGGGAGACTGTGTGCTCGTTTGTCACCCATATTCTATAAAAAAGTCGGCGTTGCTCCAACTAGTTCGCTTTGCACTTCGCTTATCGGTGTGAGGCTGCCACTCGAGAAAATCTCTCTTACTAAAAGTGATACTAAGGTAGATATTACACTTGTATTAGTAGTGCTGGTTGCCAATATCCTAAGACACTAAGTGATGCGCGTCGAACAGAATAAATAATAGTACAACAAGTTTTAGGGTTTTTTTTAAGGGCGATATGTAACGATGTGAGCAGATTATTTGCAGAAAATTACGGCTTTAGAAATATGGAGTCTTTATTTAGTGCAACACATTGCAATATCATAATTTTGATTTTATAAAGTCAATCCATCCAGAGCGTTTTACAAAAATATGCGTCAGAGTTATCTTTTAGGTCGAATACAACCATTATTATAAGCTAAAATACTTTTTATAACAACGCGTAAAGGCGCCTCTACACGTTGTCTAACATAGTGGCGAATGTAGTGGCTAATAGCATTGGCCATCATGTAGAGGGGAGTTTGGGCTTCATTGGTATGTATTGGAACGATGGCCGACAAGTTGGCGCGAGATCCGTGTGGTGTCGGTTTTTTTACAAAAGATCAAAGGATTGTTGGCAGAGTTTGGTCGCCGCGTCCACACGTTGGGCGCGCGTTTAGTTTGGTACGAGTTCCCAGAGTGATTACACGCATCTGATTTAAATTTTATATTCAAGCTTTGTAGGGTGAATGCCCCAATTACCAGCCTTTTAGTGCCAATTTCAACTTTAAATATTCCTACTATTTTAATTATCCCGATTTAATTATTTTTAAACATTTGTTTTAATCGATAAGCTATTTATTAAAAAAAATAATGAACATTTATTTACAATCAGATTATTACGAGAACAACTTTAAAATGAAAAAAAATGAAGCACGTCGTTTATACGTATTAGAAGTATAGTTGTAACACGAATGGATCGGCTTGACCGGGGAAGGACCACGCTCTCACAGAATATCAGCGTAAAATAGTAGCTTAATGATGCTATGTTTCGTAAATGAGTTTAGAGAACCAGAGATCCTATTTAAAGGAAACGAGGCATATCATCTTAATCCTCACGGGTAAAAACGCATCTGCATTTTGATTCGTAATCGAGGATAGGTGTAGATGTCTGTGGGCCACAGTAACCACTTACCATCAGGTGAACGGTATGCTCGTTTGTCACCCTATCCTATCCTATGCCGCAAAGCATGGTCCTGGGCCACTTTCCATTTTTTTTTATTGCTTTAAAAAAACGTTACCCCTACTCTAGGA